TATTTTCAATCAGGGTCTCCGGTTTAATATTCAAGCGAAGGAGGTTCAAGCAGTCTCCTGCGCGTGTGTTAACCTTAGAGACCTCAGGTTTAATTAGCAAGATTTCCAACGACAACGAAGCAGGCCCAAGGGATGCGTCACCGACTGATGTCGCAGTCAAAAGTTGTTTGGAATAATATGACTCCGCAATCTCCTGAACAAAGGAGGCGGCTGTCAAGACCCAAGCAGGTCGCAGCCAGTCTCCTAGTCAAAGGAGATATCGGAACTTGAGTTCAACTCAGACTTCGCTGGTCAAGGATGGTGTTTGTTCAAGGACAGCCTCCTCATCAGACTCCGTCAGAGATTTAGAATCAGGAATTCGAAAGGCCATGCTTCTGAATGTTGCGCTTGCACACTTGCAGTCGTTCAAGTTGTTTCCCATTGTTGCTTCGCTTGCTCAAAAATTAGGGGTGGCCAGGGTAGTTTGAAACTTTGACTCTGTAGTCTTTAGACAGGAAGTGATCAAAGACGTGAAGAAGGAGCCGACAACGAAGACTAGCCAGGACAGCTTCCCTCTGAATCCTGAAGCCCTGACGAAACAGAAGAACATGCTCAAAAACATGTCTACAAAGGGCATTGTCTTTTCAAAGTATAGACTCTAAGACATAAGCCGTCATCAAGGCAGGCCAAGCGGTCTCCTCCTAGTTGAGTAGGACAGCTTGAGACAAAGTGCTTTCCACTAAAGGTAAGGCAGGCCGACATGGTCTCCTAACTTGACAAAATTGTCAAAGCTAAGGCAGGCCGACATGGCCTCCTCACACTTCGCGGCGAGGTGCCCCAGGGTCACCTCGCGAAGCCGGGCCGGTCTGGCTCTGCGAGGAGCCTCGCGAACCCGGACCGGTCTGGCTTTGCGAGGTGACCCTGTTAAATCCCTAGGGTCACCTCGCGAAGCCGGGCCGGTCTGGCCTTGCGAGGGAGGGGAGTTAAAAATCGGTGCGACCCTGGGAAATGGCTCGCACAGGGTTGCGTGGATTTTTAACAGGGTTCCCTCGCGAAGCCCGGCCGGTCTGGCTCTGCGAGCAAGCCCTGTTAATGCCCTAGGGTCACCTCGCGAAGAATTTCACACTTTTTCTTGCGAGGCAGGGGTGGGTAACCCGGCAAGCAACTTAGCCGCCTGGGCAATGTCTATGCTCACAGAGGAATGTAGTAATTTACGATATGTCTTGACACCTGACATTACTCACACTGAGATTCAACAATTCTGTGTTGCAGTGCTAGAAGTCTCACATGTGTTGCAGTGCAAGCGTAGGGCCTCACTCACTTAGAGCATGCCGCGGACAACGGAAGTCGCACAGAGTAAGCTGGAGAAGCTCGTGGGGAAGCTCAAGGCTTACGTGAAGGAACACAAAGCTCGGCCATTCCAACCAAGGTTCGTTGCTCTGTGCCTGCCGAAGGTGTTGTGGTGGCTGTGGTAGACCCGCTGAGCGTTGGCCCCAAGCTCTTCAAGGAAGCTTCCAAGCAGTCTGTGTGGCTGATGTTCAATGAGAAATCGGTTCGTGAAAGGAAGCAGATCGTCAGAGCGGGCGCCTACACCCAGCAGATGCTGTGCAACCTCTACAGTGAGAAGCCATTGAGTTTGACCATGCCCGAGGTTGAGCGCAAGATCTATCCCGGCTTTAGCCACGGCGACGTCATCGGGTACATTTCTTGCTTGGGCCATTCGAAGCTTTGGCGAGTTCCCAGGCTGGTGGTTCTTAGCTTTGAATGTTTGTCGTGTCAAATAATAGTCAGCGTTTTTCAAAACATCTTCGCTGCCCCATTGTCAGGAAGGACAAGCTCGACATCCTTGGCAGCCGGCACGTGTTCATTCCGGCCAACGCAAGCCAGCAAGGCGACGGCCAGCCGGCAGAGGATGCGGCAGGAGCTGGAGAGCTTGAGAGCGTGTTCAGTTGCTCCATGCTGCCGGTCGAGTACTACATGGAGATGGTCCATTCCCTGAGCTGCATCGGCATTGTCGACGCATCTCCAGCACAAGGACTGCAAACCGTGTTACTTAAGTCATTGGTTTTTTTTAATTCATCGGAAAATCTTGCAGGAGAGCTCCTGAAAGCAGCGATGTCTTCTCGCACTCCTTGTCTTGCAATTTGCGGGACGGATGGACATTGCAAGAAGCTTGAGATCATGTTGACGGAATACATCTACGAAGAGCAGCAGCGGGATGGATCCACCTACTACATCCCTGAATGAGATGACGGCCAAGAGCCAGAATGACGAGCCCAAGCCCAAGTCAAAGGCCAAAGCAAAGCCGGTGACCAAGAAGCGCCCCAAGAAGAATGAGACGGCGCCGGGTGACGGTGACGAGGAGGCGGAGGCCCAGGGCGAAGAGCCTGAGCAGAAGAAGCCCAAGACGACGAAGAACAAGACGAAGAAGAAGAGTGTCGAAGACGAGGGCGCCGCCTCTGACGGTTCAGGGTCGAGCATGGCCTGGTAGATATTTTTGGCGTCTCTATTCTTGTGACGGGTATCATTGTCACTGAATCTGTGACAGTGCGGGGAGCCTGCAGTGAGAGCACTGCGCTGGCCAATCTTGATCTTTAAGTCGTTTGTTCTCCTGACTGATGCGCAAAGGAGGATAAAAGCTGTTGTGTGCGTTTTTTTGCTGTGGCCACTGTGAAAGCTGTTCAGAAATAGGTTTGCCACAGCCTCGGCCTGACTCACGACTAAGTAACTTTAAATAATTTAACGGTTCCTCCTCACTTGGCTGTACCCACTCCCACGGCAGCCTTGGCTGCAATGTTTGTGTCATTCGTTTGAGCCTAGCCATGAAGTGGACTGACCTTCTGGCCTTAAGGCGCACTTTGCGGGAGTTCGTTGATTGGGATGACTATGTGGTGCACGAGATGGAACGCCTCCGCAATGGCCTCTACTACACCGCACAGCTCTGCGATGGCAGCGCTGTGCCTGCACTCTCCTTGTGCCACGACGTGTTGACCAACTTGCGCTTTGGCCTTCCTCACATCACACAGGCTGAAGACTTGGAAGAAGTCCCAATGTCCGTGCTGCGCTTTCCACATCGAGAAGTACCAGGCTTTGAAAACTTACCAATGTTTGTGCGGTTCAATGAGCTTGGGCAGACTAGGCCTCAGAGGGATCAATCCATGACTGAGGCTTTGGCCGCCGTGGGAGACTTAGGCATTTTTATCAAGGCTGCAGAAAGATGCGGCGGCCTGGAAGAATTCCAAGATGACTTACAGGTCGCCTTGAAGACGATGTCGCAACTTGCCCGTGCATATGCAGATTACTTGGCGCCCTGGATTTGAATGGCATGTGTCCCTGCAGCAGTTTAAAATGACAGGTTAGTCGTCTCCTTCGCTTTAAAAATTTAGAGTGGCAAGGAGGCTTAATAATAATAAGTCTCCTGAAACCCCAGTTACATCTGACAAGAAGCTTGCACCAGCTAAGCCTCCTAAATTTGAATTGGTTGATACATGATAATCGTTCAATGTCAAGGAGGCAGCCAGCTGCCTCCTAACTTGGGAGGCGCCAGTTAGTTTGCTGGAGGGCGCCACCGTGCGCAGCGGGGAGGGGCTGCGCACTAAATAGTCTTACACAAACAACATCAAAGGGCAACAGGGGCAACAAACAAGCTTCGGCAAGTTTTAGGGCAGAACGGAATCTCTGTCGCGGAGGACGGACACGGAGCTCCTCCCTCTATTTTAGAGGAGAAGGGAGGAGCTGCTGCCTCTTAATCCCTCTATTTTAGAGGAGAACAGAGGCTCTTTGCCCTTGCGCCTCTATTTTAGAGGAGAAGGGAGGAGCTGCTGCCTCTTAATCCCTCTATTTTAGAGGAGAACAGAGGCTCTTTGCCATTGCGCCTCTATTTTAGAGGAGAAGGGAGCCGTCAAAGGGAGCTACTGCCTCTATTTTAGAGGAGAAGGGAGGAGCTGCTGCCTCTTAATCCCTCTATTTTAGAGGAGAACAGAGGCTCTTTGTCATTGCGCCTCTATTTTAGAGGAGAAGGGAGCCTTGACACGGAGCTCCTCCCTCTATTTTAGAGGAGAAGGGAGGAGCTGCTGCCTCTTAATGCCTCTATTTTAGAAGAGAACAGAGGCTCTTTGTCGTTGCGCCTCTATTTTAGAGGAGACGGGAGCCGTCAAAGTGAGCTACTGCCTCTATTTTAGAGCAGAACGGAATCTCTGTCGCGGAGGACGGAATGCCTCTATTTTAGAGGAGAACAGAGGCTCTTTGTCATTGCGCCTCTATTTTCGAGGAGAAGGGAGCCTTGACACGGAGCTCCTCCCTCTATTTTAGAGGAGAAGGGAAGAGCTGCTGCCTCTTAATCCCTCTATTTTAGAGGAGAACAGAGGCTCTTTGCCGTTGCGCCTCTATTTTAGAGGAGAAGGGAGCCGTCAAACTGAGCTACTGCCTCTATTTTAGAGCAGAATCTCTGTCGCGGAGGACGGACACGGAGCTCCTCCCTCTATTTTAGAGGAGAAGGGAGGCTTGCCGATGTTAAATGTAGACCGATAGACCGTTTTTGGTTTTAGGCCACCTGCACCTTCGGAAAACGTGTGTTCTCCGATCCTGAAGTTATCTAACTTTGGATCCCACGGCCAGAGCAGCAGCCATTCCGATGTATCTGCCAACCCATGATTGCAAAACACATTTGGCTCAAGAACACGTTGGCTCAAAATGGCTCAAGACTTTGACTTCCCAGCTGTCAAAAAAAAGGGGAGGAAGGGATGTAATGTAGTTGGCTCAAGACCAGTGTGGGCAAAGTTACCCACACTGGGGCTGGGAAAAAAAATGGGTAAGATGGGATTGGTAACTAGATGGCTCAAAACCAATTTCGGCAAAATTTCCAAATTGGTGCGGTAGGGCAAGGAAAAAGTAGGAAGGGAATTGGGAAGGGATGGTTGGGACTGGGCTGGATGTGACCAGGGGTAACATGATAACATAATGTAATGTAACCTTGGGGTAATGCAACCTTATAATTTTCAACATGGCATGGCATGAAACCATCAAACCATAAACCATGTCAAACACAACATTTCAAACATTTTTGGCATGGAACAGGGGAGGTGGTCTGACCCCTCTCAGTTCTTTTCGATTGTTTTTTTTGCCACAAGTGGCAGCGCTGTGGAACCAAGCTGTAGAATTCTCTGCAGCATGGCCAGCAGGGGAGGCGACCCCTCTCGCTGACTAATTTTTTTCAACAAATCAAACAATCAAACCATGTAAAACACATGATGTTTCAATTTTTTGGCATGGATTGGGCAGCAGGGGAAGTGTCTCACCCTGTTCACTGACTGGATCATTTTATTTTGGATTGTTTATTATTTTGTTGCCACCAGTGGCAGCGCTGTGGAACCAAACTGTAGAATTTTGGCATGGCCAGCAGGGAGGTGGTCTGACCCCTTTCACTGACTGGATTGTTTTATTTTTTCAACAGGCTAAACCATCAAACAATGTTTATTTTTGATTTTTTGAAGAGGAGGTGGTTTGACCTCACTACCTGGAATGCTGGAGTTTTTTTGACAGGTGCCGACATGCTAAGCGATCAAAGCAATGAAACCAGGGAGAGCTGCCAATTTCACCATTTTTTGTTTGGCAGCCAGCCTGGAAGGAAGACAAATTCAAACAAACCAATGGAAGGTGGTCTGACCTTCCGACCCCTCTGTGAAGAAATTGCAGTGTTTAATCCCATTACCTTCTGTCAGTCAGAAATGTAACTGGGGAGGGGGGCAGGGCGATCCAAAAAATCACCACTGGGTGTTGAGTATATATGCATCCCTTTGTTGGAGCTAGATCTATCTTTGTACGATTTATCTTGGATGATATTACCCAAGATGAAGGTGGTCTGAACTCTTTAACCACTGCTTCACCGAAATTTCACTGGATATTGTTTCTGAAGTGCTAGTATTTAGCCAATTGTTCCATTGTTTTTGAAACATTTTCCTGGCCAGCATCACTGTTGAATAGTGTCTAGTTTTTGAACCCGGTGTATCTTTTAATGGATCTACCCTAGATGGGGACGCCCTCAATGTTTTACTTGTGCCAACCTCATCATCGGGCAAGGGAACCACAGAGAACATATGTAAACACCATTGATTTTTGATCAAGAGTCGTATGCCCCAGGATAACTTGATGAAAAACGCTCGTTCCGCAAACCAGGGGTGCGTGTGCACACAGCTGAAAGTTTTTTTGAGCGTTTGGCTACAATGACGCTCTTGACTGACAAGTCTGGGCGCTTAGGGTGATGCTGCTGCCGGGGATGATGACAGCAAGTCTCTTGAAAAAGTGCGTTAGCCAGTCTTCTTGCACCAATTCAATTGTGTGACTGACCGAGGGTCATGTTCAGTTATGACTGCATTGCTGTTTTTGTTCTGCTGTGTTAGACCAAGTAGTGCAAAATACAGCATTGAGCATTGGAAATTGAAACACCAAAAAGTTCAGTGGAGTTCCCGCGAACATGCAAACTTAACATTTTACATGTTCCATTTTGGGCGACATTAAGTGTAGACCAATTTTGGCCCTTACATACTCCCCTTACACATTGCCAGCCCGGGCCGGGGCCGCGTAAGCAGCGTTAACGTGAACGCATCCGTGTAAGGACAGTATGAAGTTCGTACTCCCCTTACGCATTGCCAGCCCGGGCCGGGTCCGCGTAAGAGGAGTAGGTTTTCGCGTAAGGACAGTATGAACGCTAGCGCCGCTAGCGTACATACTCCCCTTACGCATTTACATACTCCCCTTACGCATTCTGAGCCCGGGCCGGCTCCGCGTAAGGGGAGTATGAAGTTCGTACTCCCCTTACGCATTTACGCTGGTACAAACGCTACTTTCCAGAGACACTAGACCTTGGAGTAGTCAGAGAATACAATCCAACGCTCTTGCTTCCGGAGTCTGGCTCACAGGCACATACGTTGATTAGTCAGTGTCAGTTACTACTGTAACAGCAGCCAATCTCACTGATAGAAAAGACATAAGCAAGTCAGCATAAGTATCATTAGCAATTCATTGTGACATTTTCGGAAATGAACTCAGACTCGCCGCCTTAGACCATGTTGTCCAAGTTGGCAACTAGAAAAAAAAACATGTCTGATGGTCTGACCTCGGGCAGCAAGCAGTCTGATGGTCTGACCTCGGGCAGAAAGTCTGATGGCCTGACCTTGGGCAGCAAACCAAAAAAATCAGCAGAAATGAAAAAACATTTCGATCGCATTCTCAATTTGGCCGAAGAAAAG